TCCTTCCTCCCACAGGTTCTTACCTTGCTGTTTTTGGGCCATCATTTCCTTGCTGTTGGTTTTCACCTTGGAGCAGTCCTTTGCTGTTTGCTTTCAAGAGAGGAAATCCCGGCATTGGGAATTCCCTGGGAGACGTGCAGCCCAGTGGGGCCAACGCTCGTGCCTGTGTCGAGGAGCTCAGGTGAACCAGCACTGGTTGTCCACAGGTCTGTTGGCAGGAGCAGCCCAGAGGATGATCAGCCTGAGAAAAGACTTGATGCTGGGGAGGAAAATGCAGCCCTTTAATCCCAGCTACCATTTGCAGTTTTGTTACTAATCCCCTAAAGTGAAGAGAAGGTTAATTGTGCCCAGGCCATAAGTTCTCCCAGGAAAGATTTTCCCTTTACCCCCTCCCAGACCAGTACTGAGACCCCAAACACTAAAAATAAACTGTGACTTCAGCCCTGAAAGGCTAAATCTTCACTCCTTTCCCCTGGGTCTCAGAAACCTCCATGGATGAACACACTAAGGACTGCAAACTGGGAACCTCATGTAGGAATAAGCACATGCCAGTGCTTCCCTCCCACTGAAACAGGGGATCCTTCCCCTTGGGTGAAAAATCAGGAATGAGTGAAAACATGAGTTGTGACTGTACTGAGCCACCCCACACTTTTTGGGACAGCACTACATGGAACTGGGGTGCCTGCCAAGCCCATTCTGCTCACAGAGACACAGAGGAGGCCAAGCACAAGCTGACTGGAGGAAGGGACATCTCTTCTCTTGGAGAGCCCATTCCATACACACAGGTCCCCGTGTCCCTCTGCCTTGACTCCAGGGTCACCTCCTGTGACGTGCCATCCCCAGTGCGACAGCTCCGGCTGGTGGCTGCCGAGGGCTGGAAACAGCACTCACATGGAAACACTCAGGAGAGGGAACGGAGTTATGCCAAGGAAATGTCTGATCTTCCTGATGGTATCCTAATGGTATCCATCTCCCAAACCACAAGGGACAGGAGACATGGCAGATGCTTCTGTGGAACACCCGACGTGCATCAAACACACATCACTGCTGCCTTCCCACGACGAGGGGGGAGATTTAATTACACACAAACTCTACTAAATCAAGGAGAGAGACAGTTGAAAATAGGGTAGGAAGAAACCCAACATTTAATTCAATTTATTTAGCAGCATCTTTATTGCAACAAAGGTTTTGTAATAAAACGCAGCAAAACTAATGTCTCCACTTTACATGATTAAAAGCCATGGAGCTCGGGAGGGTGGGAGGGAGGGAGCCCAATAAACCCACTGGAGTGAGACATGCAATTTTGTTAATGCAAACAGCAGGCACTTCATGTTCTCAAATTAAACACCTGAACTTCTACTGTGCACAACAGCCAAGTAAAAACAGGGAGATCTCTCTTCCCCCTCCAAAGGGGCACATGGGAAGGCCCTACAGGGCCCTGGTACTCAAACAGGCAGCTCAAGGCAGTGTCCTCATCTGGCTGATGCTTCAGTTACTGAGACTCGGTTATTGCCTTGGCAGAAGTTGGGTGTCACATGCCAGCAGCCTGTCTGACACACGGACACACACAGCAGGAACACACCCCACTTCTCCTGGCAGGGAATATGGGTTGGGACGCCCGGGATGGGAGTTTGTGAGCTCCCCATGATTTCCCACCCAGTCTCAGACGCAGGTGCTCCAGGGTTAAAGCATTACCACACCATCCCGCTCAGAAAGTTTTTCCATAGCCTATTCCCAAACACCACTAATAAGTAGGGAATGCATTTTCCATTCTAATATAATGAAGTTAGTTATTTTCAAAGCTTTACTCGGTGCTTTGAGCTCATTATTCCATTGAGTTTGTAAAAAATAAGCAGTTGTAGGTAGGTACTAATTTTACTTTGTTCTGAATAAAAAGAGACCATGGGAAACAAAGGGGGTAGGGGTGAAACCCAACAGCTCTGCACATCCCACACTCATGAGGCATCACTGGAAGCTGCATTAAAATGGGGTGAAAGAACGTGCTTCCACCAGAAACAAGCACAACCCATCCCAAGCACCTCAAAAGGGAGGGAACTGCTGGCACCAACACAACAATTCAGTATCTCAGCACTCAGATCCCCATATTTCACATATACCCTTAAATATATGAAAACATTCATCTCAAAGACACCTGTGCCACTACCAAGGAAGGCTCAGTCCTGCTCCTGCTCAGAGCAGGTGTCCTGTTGGACATTCCAACCTCTGGTTTGGGAGCCATGGGGATGGCTTCCTCCTCCAACCTCCCTCGCACGTGCTCCCCCAGGATCTCACTAGTTCTGCTGAAAACTCACATTAACCAAGAGATTTTTTTTAACATGCAGGAAGTGACAAAGTATAATCCCAAATATCAAACAGGCTGGAAACCTCCTCGAGCGACATTCCCATCTCCAGGACTGTAAGGTCAGACCAGCACCTCACCATAGGAAGTGTAGGAATACCACTCCCCCTAAAAATATGGATACAACAGTCCCTCAGCACTGACACCTTCCTACCTCTGCAGTCTCGATCACAACAGGCTTTGCCCTTCTTCACTGGGAATTTAGCTGGAATCAGACTTCATCTAAGGCATCTCTTCTGCAAGAACTACAAAACTCTGGTGATAAATCCTCCAGCACTTCCACAGGATAAGAGAGCACGGGGTCTTAAAGTGCTTAACTACGGTAAAAAGGAAAGAAAATGGTGGGAAAGGAAGAATCCATAATTTATGTTGCAAAACAGAGCAGTTACAGTACATTGTGCCTTAATAGCTTTTCGATGTGTATATTTAAAACAGTGGAAGGATGCATTATTAAAAGTTATATGTCAGCGCTTATAATCACATTCTGCCTCAAATCCAAACCCAGCCTGGTTTACTTGCATAACATTCAGTTCTTCAGTTCCCAAAAAAAGCACTGTTTGATGAAGGCCATTTTTGTTCTGTTTTTTTAAACAAAAGGATCGATTTCATCTTAAAAATCATACACATTTACATTCAAGGGTAATCACCTCTAGAAAAAGAACAAAAACACCCCAAAAAAGCAAGTTAATTTAATATTGAACAAAATATAAACAACCTTGGAAAAGGTGATACCATCCACGTGTAATTTTATACATATATGTATATATGAACAGATATAGATATATGTATATATAATACAGCATAAACACATTGGGAACACAATGGAATTCCAGAGGAACAGCTTATTCTTGTCTCCACTCACTGTTGTGTTTCTCCTCTCTCAGTGCTGACTGTAGCACACACCAGTGGGATGCTGCCTTTGCCTCAGCCACAATTAACCAATGAGAGAAGACATTCCAGGAGCTGGGCTCCTTCCCTGCCATGCCCTTCCCAAAATAAACCCGTTATTGACCTGCCAGTGGCATTTTAACTGATCCATTTACAATCAATGTGGTCTGAAAACCAGCAAACAGCCCAAACTGAACCTCCCCGCTGCGGAGGGAACGCGCCCTCACTGCAGGCCTGTTGGCTTCGGCTCTGCTGTGTGTCCCAAACCCCAGATCCTGTTCTCACAAAGGGATTTCACAACCGTGTAAGTGCACCAGCTCCCACTGCTTTGGTGCCCAAGGCCAGCAGTTTAACTGGAAAACGATGCGGTTTGATCCGACACAGCCAGACTCTGTTCAATCCCCCAGTTTCGGGATTGAGCTGAACAGCACAAAAATCAAGGGAAGTACAAGGTTACAACATGTGGAGTACTAAGAGCGTAAACACCGAGAGTGATTCCAGATTTTCAGCAGATGAAAAGAAAATTGTGCTCTGCTCCTCTCTAGCACCAAACGAGGAAGAAAAGGAAGTTCTTGGGTTTCTAAGAAAACCATTAAAACTTATCGGAGTCTCAGAGGCAAGTCCCAGGGGTGGAATTTCCTGGATTAAAGAGAATCATTTTGCTATGGATTTCTATCCTAAACGACCTGTTGCCAGTTAAAAGTGCCCTCACACCCTTATGCTTTTCAGCCAAGCCTGCTGTGTAGTTAAAACCTCACCAGCAAAGCCACTGGGACTGCAGTCCCTCGAGGATTTGTGGGGTTACCTGAAGCTGCACAGAAAGGGGTTCTCAGAGACAGCATCAGCATCATCATCATGCTACAGAGCAGTGCTAGAAAAGACCCAGGAACAGGGGACTGGACAGAGCATGAGCCTGGGAAAAAGTCCCTCATACAGCAGAAAATTCTATGGAACAGTTCATATTGCCCCATATCCTCTGCAGACCTTGGAATTAAGAGTATTGAATTTTAAAATCCTAACAGGATGCATATGCCTATATCATGCTGATGTGAGGGTAAGGAAAGAGTATTGCAAACCCAGCTCCAGAGTGAACATCAGGGAAAAATGTCAGTGGGATGCACTTTGAAGCTTGTTTTAAAATTTACAGAGTTTCAGCTCTTTGACTTAAGTTAGTTTGCACCTCAGAATATAAGATTGTTATGTCCATATCACAGTAAAATATCAACTCACTTCCCCATTGAAATCAAGTACAATCAGGATAGGATCTCAAGCTGCTGGAAGAAAAGAGAATGATTTATCCTGGGGGAGAAGGAATCAACGAACCTGGCATCAACTGAACTGAATCCAAACTTTAAATTCATTAGGAGGAAGCTTAAAAGTCTTTCTTCTTAAAAAACAATTAACATCTAGATAGGTGATGTGTCCAACTTGTGACCAGCTTCTAAGGAGTGAGACACATCCCCCTCATGAAGCATAAAAGCTATATGATAGCATTTAAAATTAATACAAGTTGTAACCATTCAGGTAAACAAAATCCTGCTGTGTAGTGAGCAAATCATCCAGTATTATGTAATAAGATACCAAGGAATACACTGTAAAAATACATCAATTATGTCATAATGCTTTTAAAAAGTGAAGCTCTGGTGCTGCAGAAGGACATTATTTTCAGTTTCAGCTCCTCCCCCCAGAGAACACCCATGGTACTGTGTTATACCACAGACAGTGGATTTTATTTACAGCTTAAACTTTGAAGTTATTAAATCACCGTACTTTAATTTCCTGTATGGCACCAAATTTACTTCTTTAAAAAAAGTGTCTGTGAGTGTGTGTACATGTGTGTACGTGTGGCAGGCACCAGAATGCAACGTTCCATCCTGTTTGCTCTCCTTCCCTGCACCTCCTTGTCCGGAGCGCAGCCCGTGGAGCGGAGTGGAGGGGTTGGTCACAGGGCCTTCAGGGCAGCGATGTGAGAGCCCAGGTTCTCTTGCAGGTAATACAGCAGGTGCAGTTCATAGTGCTCTCCTGACTCAGGCACTCTGATGCTGTGTCTCTCCTGAGGGTAGATCTAAAAATGGAAAATAAAGTTGTGGATATCCACAAGAGTTGCAGGTACCAACGTCCAAACCCGTCCCAGAGCCACATTCCAAATGTCCATGGAATCCCCCTGCATTAACTCTGAGCTAACACACCTCATCCTCCACTGCCTGAACCCAGAGAGAACCCACTGCACCCCCTGATCCAGGGCTGAGCCTGGTTGAGAAGAGGCAGCCCCTGCCCAGAGCCATCCTGTCAATCAGGACATTCCCAGTTCCCCACTGTGGTGTGGGATACCTGGGCTGCACCTGCCTGACCAGCAGGGTTTAATTAAATCCATAACTCTGTTCCACACTGCATGAACACTCCTGCACTGCCTCCCAACTGAGACCTCCTTGGGAGCAGCCTTAGCTGCTCATTTGCCCAATTTTTTTTGTTTATTCGTTAAAATCTTACTTTTAAACAAATGCTTGGCTCAAATGCTACAGTTTTATCCCGGAATTCCAAGCTGCCCTGCACAGCCATGCTGCAAGTTCCAGTTCTGGACTCCCCAAAGACAGACACATTACCTTTTCACCCTGGTTCTGGCCTTACCTGTAAGTCATAGGGTTTCCCAGCTCTCACCAAAAAGCTGAGCAGAATACTGGTGTGTGCGAAGTGAACGTTCTCATCCAGGAACCCGTGCAGCAGCAGCAAGCGGTTTGGTCTGGGAAAAGCAAGAGGCAAACAGTTCTAGGCAGCATCCCAGTCATTTCACAGTCCACACACATCCCTTCAAAAACACTCCTTGGAAAAAAAATATTTAAAGGCAGTGACTTCACTGTTGTAAATTGCTCTGGATGGACCAAACTTATTCTTTCTTCCTCTGAAAGTTCTTCCTGCATGTGCGTATCACAGTCAGACCTTTTATCTGTGTATCTTATTTATTCTCAGCAATATTTCCTGGCTTGGACAATGCAAGGACTTAAACCTTGCTTAACACTGCTGATTGTCAGCTCTTTGGTGAGAAAGCCCCTGGTCCCAGCCTGCTCTGCTGTGCTGACATAGCCTCAGAACAGGCAGAAAACATCCTGATCAACTAATTTTTGTTCCACTTAATGTGGCTCTGAAGTGCTAATCACAGCTGAAGATATGTTTGCCATTTCTTTACACATAAAAGATACTCTTTAATTACAGCTACTATGAAAGGGATTACATGGAATGGCCTGTAATTATACAAATGTTCATTCCAGTATTAAGTTTATTAGTGCTGGGTATTGGTATTTTTTTTTAATTATTATTTAATGCGAGCATTTGTGATTCCAGGACCCAACTGCCACGAACAGGGAGATAAAAATGTGTCTGTGGGGCTTGAACTTTCCTGGTGGGAAAAGTAGAAGGCAAGAGGCAGAACCAAACTCACTCAGAAGGGAATTTCTCAGCCTGCATGGCCACGGATCCCAGGTAATAGCCCTGCTCGTTGTGCTCCGGGTGGCCCATGTAACGCTCCGTGTATCCCGTGTCGTAGAAAATCCACAGCGTGACGGGGGCTCCGGCTACAGCCACCTGGGAATTCCACAGGAGAGGGCAATGACAACACCAGCCCCCTGACTGGGCATGTCCCTCCCTCCCCCAGCTTTATCCTGCTCTAACTGTGGAAAAAGCAAAGCAGTGCCCTCCCTCCCTCAGTTCACATGTGGCACGACTGGGCTATGACCCACACGTGCTGAACACAGGGAGATCCTACAGATAAATCAGAAACAAAACCACCTGCAAGGGCTGCTGACGGACGTGGATTTTGTGGATTTTTGTGCTTTTAGGTTCTTTTGAATATCTAACAGAAACTGGGAATGACGGCTCCCTAGGACTCCGCTACCACCAGCTTGCAGAGAGGCTTGTGGAAAAAAAGACCCACAAGACAAAAGAAACAACCACAGGAAGACCCCAAAATCCCCCTTTGCAAGATAAGCGTTTTTAAAAGTAAAAATATAACAATCATTATGGATTGAGACAAATAATCATTAAACCTCCCAGTAATATTAAGGTCGGACTTGGAGAAAGCAAGAGCAAGCCACAAAGTACAAAACACACCCCGAGAGCAATATCCAGCTCTTCCCACATCTCTGCCTTTGAGATGTGCCCAAACGCAGTCTGGACATTTATTACAGTGGTCTAAAGTCAGGCAATCACAAGGATTTCAGCACCTCTCCCCAGCCCCAGCCTGCCCTCCTGGCTGCTTCAGAGCACACTGCTACAAAGCACCACAGGCAATTTGATCTGGGAATAGATCTGTCTGCAAAGGGACTACCCTCTCAGGGCAGGAAAGAGGGAGGAGGATGAGAAGGAGGTGTTGTTTTTCAGCAGGATGGTTTCCCTTACCAGGTTCACAACACAAAGAGCTCAGCTGGCACAAAGTGGGCAGCAGTTGAGACTGTCTAAGGCACCTTCAGCACAGGTGACCTGAGATTGGTGGAGCTACACCAGCATTGCTAAGTCACTGCAAGCTCAACAGTCCAACAGTTTCAAGCTCTCTTACACAGATCCAGAGAGGGAATATCCATCTGTGCTCAGCTGACTGGAACAGTTGCTCCTCCTCACCCCAGCTCATGAGAACAGACTCAGATATTCCAGAAAAACTGGCCTACCCCAACAGCCCCCCACTCCTCTGCATGCCAGGCTTCTTGAATGGCAAATGCGTTCTGCCCAAAGGTAGAGTGCAGGGATTTCTAGATCTGTTGTCTGTGAAATACCAAAAAAATAACCAAAGCCTGGAAGCCTAATTAGAAATACCACAGAATAAATGTTTGCTAGAAAAGCAACTTCTCTCTGAAGTCACCCAAATAGAAGAGTCTTGAAGAAACTGCACTGTGCCCTCACGTGTCCAGAGCAAGCTCCAAGGTCTTTGTGCTGTGAACACCCAGGGGGGTCACACAACAAAAGGAAAAATTCTGTCTGCACCACCAGAGTAAGTACTCAATGCATGAACATACCCTGAAGATATCTGACCTCTGTGTTAAAGCCATGAGGGAGAGGTATCCTCCGTAGGACCAGCCGTGGATGCCGACACGGTCCAGGTCGATGAAGTCGTACTGCGATGCCAAGTACTGCAGCCCTTCCACCTGGTCATCGATCTCTATCTGCCCCTGCGAGGCACAAAGGCAAGTTCTGCTAGTTACGGGAAACAGTTTCATTCCCAGGATTTCCCAAGGAAACCACTTCCAGAGCTTTGCTGCTAAAGAGTAACCCATGCTGAGAATGGAAGTGTCCTGCAAATTGCAGCTGGTGGGAGTCACAGCCCCCCTTAGGTGCCACTGTGTGTCAGGGCTGCCAAGCTGGAGCTTCCTCACACCTCACAGACCCATGACATTTTGTCTTTCCCACACTGAGCACCTTTCCTCCCTCAAATCTCACCTATACCCAGTTCCTGTCCCCAAACCCAGGCAGTCCTGGGCACCTGCACCAAACCAGTGCTTCAGCTCAGGTAACACTGGGACTCAGACCCACCTCTGGCTGAGCCCAGAGCCAAACTCAGAGCTCCACTTACCATTTTGTATTTAAAGGCTCCTTCAAACTTGAGCCCTCGGTGGCAGGAGCCCCTGTTGTCAATGACAACCACAACATAGCCTAAGGAGGCCAAAGTGTTCAGTCGGAAATACTTGATTCCTTTGAACCGGTTGTTCACCAGCTGTACCTGGAATACAAGAGCAGCACAACCACACATGAATCAGAATCCAGAGGTCACCTCTTAATCCAACTTCTGATTTTATTTATATTTCCCTTCCTTTAAATGGTTTATATTTTTATAATGTAAAGGTTTTAAGATCCCTACTCCCCGCTGAATTCCCTCTCCCTGCTATGAAATAACCTCTCTTCCCCCATTCTGTGTCACAGGTATGAAGAGCTGAACTGAGGTACCTGGAGAGGAAAGGGAGATAGAACTGGGCACAGGGACTACCTGACTCCCCTTTCCCCCAGTTCCATCTCTGCTGCTGTTCTCAGACAAGGGGCAGTGCCTCAGCCCAAGACCTGGAAATCCTGACTCCTTACAGGACCTTTGGCCAAGCAGCCACGCACCAAACAGGCAAAATGCCACATGCTGCCCTCAGCATGGAGCAGGAACTGTTCCTGTAGGAGAGCAGGAGTGGCCCAGCCAGCCCACCCCCTGCTCACCACTCACCTGAGGGCCTCCATAGATGAAGAGCACAGTGGGGTACTTCTTCCCAGGCTGCAGGTTGTGAGGTTTGTACATCATTCCATACAGCGTGAACCCCGTGGAGCTCTCGAAGGAGAACACTTCAGGGGGAATGTAATCGGGAAGAGGGCCTGCCATGGGAGGGAACAGAGAGCCTGGTTTAACAGGGAATGGATGAATAACACAGCTCTGCTTCAGCCCTGCCCTGTCACCAGTCTCACTGCAATCCCAGCAGAGCTCTCCCGTGCTTTCCAGTGGATGTGGCTGGGTCTAGACAGAGACAGGGAATGCCCCAGCCCTAGGTGAGCTTTCTCAGCCCTATCACATTCCCATCCCTGCTCTCCTGCAAACAACAGTAACTCTTCTCCCCTGACAGCCATTACAGGTATCCTGTCCCTTCCTAACCTCTCTTAGGACTCACACATTAGTAAGTGGAAAGCACAGGATATGGAGCATGCTTTAGGGAAAGCGAGATGAAAGGGAACAGAAACACAACGGAAAACAAAGCCCAAGAGCTGTCCCACAATCCCAGGAGCAGTCAGCAGCACACACTGTTTAAGAGGTGCACACCCCTTCCCAGGAGCACACCTGTGAACAGACACATTGCACAGCGTAAATGAGTGCACTTAAATCCCTCCCTAAGCTAAAACTTGGTATTTTCCATCTAAATTCCTTCACGGTCTGTTTACACCCATTTGTTGCTGAGCTGAAAATGTCCCTCCTGCAATTCCAAGAACTCCTCACACAAGGGTGAGTTTCAGACAAAAGTCCAGTCACCCACAACAAGAGCAAATCTCAAGCAAGCACATGCTGGGGTTATCTTTCATCCTGTGACCCTGCTTGTCCTTTTCCCGTTCCTCATCCATGCCACTACCTGCTGAATCCAAAATGGTAGCCCAGAATTCCTTTGTCCTGTGAGCTGCATCATCTTCTGACCCTGTGAGCCGGTACAGTGACACACAGTGGGGGTTCTTCTGATTACTGTACTTGCTGATGAACATGTCACAGTCCTGGGGAGAAAAAGAGCATGTCTTGAACTCCTCAGTGCAGAGGCAGAAGTAAAACTGAACATTTCTTTCTGCATCTACATCTTTCAGAAGATGCTTATGGACCAAATTAAGGTAGGAAGCCTGAGCACTTTTGACTCTGAAACGCTACAGTCCTTGACAAGGCTCATATTAACACTACAAAGCCAACAGTGGCAGGAGGACCTGGTCACACACCTCCCTTTGGGTAATGAATTCCCAGCTGGATGCTCGGAACTCCAGCCAATGCTATCCCAGGCTCATCTCCTCTGGTCACTGCTCTCTAACTCACTTCAGAAAAAGAGAGGCAGGCTCAAAGAGTTTCCCACAATTCATCCTGTCTCCTCTTGCCTGAAGTGACCTGGAGAGCAATGAACTGGGACGTCAAATCTGGTTTCCAGGGTAGTTTTACACACTGACTGTACAACGTACAGGAGCCCACAACACGGCATAAAATGTGCTTTTGTTATACATAAATACTGCCTTGGCTGCTGACTGATGAAGGATAAGCCTGGTGACAAGGCAGAGCACCCCCAGGCAGACCTGGCTGACACAGCAGGCGTGGGAGTATCCACGTTCTGTCAGTCGCTTCACTTCCCCGGGATTCTCGTAGTTCACAACGTACAAGTGATGCTCCAGAGGTGAGTCTTTTGTGCCTTGAAAGTACACCAGTTTTTTGGCTTCATCCACATAGATCTGTCAGAAGCAAAACAGACAACACATCCCTCGAGATTGTTCCTTGTCAAAGTAATACCCAGTTCTTCTGCCTCCACGTCTCCCCCCAGGCCCACTTCCATAATGTTGAGTCGGAGCCCAACAACCTGCAGGGAATAAGTCAAATGACTGTTCTCACTGTCCACAACTCTGTCACAGTTTGCACTTCACACCTGGTTGATCAGCTCTCTCATGTAGGTTCTTTGCTGTTCCCAGTCTCCCCTATTGTTTGCTCTGCTAAATAACTGTCCCCCATTTTTTGTCACCTCCACACTCTTCAGATCCTTTCCCAAATCATGTAGGATATAAACCAGCCCAGAAGGAAATCAAGGCAGCAGCTCCCTGCTATATTAAATATTTCTCCGTTGTCCCTTCTTTTGGAGGGACAGCAGAAGGCAGAACAGATTCAAACTCAGGTCAACTTGCACATATCATTCCCCAATCCCATTTCTAACTACTAGGAAGGATTTCCAAGTCCTTTACAAAGTCCAAACCAGTAAAACACTTCTATGTGAGCTGCTGCTTGATTCAAATGATCAAAGAATTCATCCAGCTGAGAGCTAGAAGAGCAGCAGTTTGGGGAGCATTCCTTCCCTCCTTGTGCAAGCTGACAAGCTACATGGAACAGAAACACTGAGTATTCTGGCTAAAACCAGACAGGATTAATGGATTTAGAGTGATCCCTCCAAGAGCCCATCTCCCTGCAGTGTGTGTGGCAGGATATCTGTGCAGGAAGAGCAGGGCTTACGTTGGATCCATGTCTGCCAAGCACTTCCCATTCCCCACTGGTAATCGCTATCTCCTCTTTGATGAGGCACTTGAAGTCACCTGCAAATAACAAATATAAAGAGATTTTACACTTTAAATTTTTACAAAACATGGTCACAATAATGCTTCTTCTTCCCAAGCTTTTTTCCTAGAACTAAGCCCAAGAGCAACCTGCAGCAGACCCCCAGCTCTGCCAGCTCCCCAGACAATGTCAGGGCTGGGGCTACTTAACATTCTGTGAAATATATGTCAAAGGATTCACAGGACTTACTTTTACATTTTTTAAAGTATTTTGTCACTTGCATAGAAATAAAAGTTTTACACTGAAAAAATGGGTGGGCAAAGGGAACGTGAAGTGTCAAAAAATGGGCAATTTTGCAACAGGGTGGGGAACAACCCTGCTTTTCTAAGACAGTTTAATTTCCCTTAGAATGAGGGAGATATAACAAGAAAAAAGGTCGTATGCATTCAGAGAAATCTAATCCACCCAGGATATAAGGCTACCTGGGAAAAAACAACCCACCAACAGTTGCATGAAACTAGGACCTCTAGGAAAATCAGGTGCATTTTTTGTGCATGCAGAGTTCAGTAAGTGCCTTTAACACACATCAAGTAAATTAAGTATCACAGCATGAAACTGTGAATTAAAGGACACGTGCTGTGGAAAAGTCACTCTGGGAGCTCTGCACACAGTGACATCCTGCATCTGAGTAAGACCAAACCCCAGTAGTGACAAGGAAAAGCCAACTAAGTCTCACAGTATCACAGGCAGCTTTTTTCCCCATCTGGTTTTTGGAAACTTTTCCCTCTAGTCCATAAGGAAGGGTCAGGGTTAAAACTAATGCATGCTGAAAACAGAAGAATTTCTGCTCAAGAGGAATGACTGTACAGGGAAGCACTTTCCTGGACAACAGCAGAAGTTTCCAATAAGATAATAATTCCCGCCAGCTGGAAGGACATTTATTTCCTCACCAGGCAGCAGCAAATGCCCAACTAAAGCAAAAGGATAATTTCCCTTACTGGGGGCAGGGAGGCCTCCACAGGACCGTTTGTATTTGCTCTCCTTCAGCACCGAGGTGACTTTGTACAGGTGCCGGAATCCTGTTTTGCACTCGGAGGCAAAGATGAACTCTATCTCATCTTCCTGGGTTTGTGGGAAAACATGGAAGATATCGTGGATCTGTGGAGACAGAGCAGTGGGTTATTGTAATCAGTCACACAAAACACCTTCCTCTTGGTGCTCAACACACACCACACAGTCCAGACTAACTGGGTGCAGCACTGTCCCTTACTGGGAGAACCAGTTACACTTTGAGCTGGGGGGGTCTGGAGCCAGTGCCACATCCCCACAGCTCCAGCTTTTTGCCAGTCTAACTCTATATGGTGGTCACCGAAACTAATGAAGTTTTTCTGCACCTGCCTTTCTAGCTTGGTCACAGGGGTGGGTCCAGCCCTGCAGATCTCTGTCCCGTGCTGTCTGCAAGCCCTCAAGTGAAGGGTTATTTAAAGAAAGATGAGCTCACATCATCTTCCCACTCATCAAGAACTCTTGCTTCAAGGGAAAACCCTTTGAGGGACTTGGGAGCATTTATCTGCACAGGATGAGCTGCCAGTCAAAAACCACTCCAGCCAGTAAAAATACTGGAGGAAGAAAAACTCACTGCACCATCCTGAAACCACGACACCACTGCTAAGGAGAAAACCTGGTATCATAGAGGGCAGTCACTCTATAGGGACCATTCACTGGAAGGCTTTGTGCAAATGCTCTCTGCTGAAAGATCCAGCTACCTGCCAGTGATTGATGCTCCAGGCACACCTCCAATGGCATTCCCTTTGATCCTTGGATCTGTATCTGCAGCAGTGTGAGGAGGGGCACACATTTTTGCAGCAGTAACCAGGCACACCAGTGTGTGGTCCCAGCACAGGCCCTGCAGTTCACCTGCCACAACGTCACACCCCAATCTATTTCACCAGAAATAGCAGTTCAGGAGGGAGTTAGTGCCTGTCAGCAGACTCTCAGGACTTGTTCACCCAGTATCATCTTGATACATCTTTGTTGGCTGAAGAATATTTAATCTGGTGGTGAACAACCAGCACCAAGAAGCTGGAGAGTGTCAGTAACACTGTGGGCAAGGGGGTGCCCAGGACCCCCAGAGCCCTGGGCTCTGCTCCTGCCTCTAAACACTGTGCAGCCTCAAGCAAAGCAGCTCTTGTTTTCACATCCCAAATCTTCCTGTTCTCTACATACTGTTTTTAACAGCAGGAAGCACAGAATATGCACAGAACTTGCACAGTGGGATCCCTCTCTTAGGCAGCACAAAAAACACCGGGGTTGCTCAAGTGCTACAAACTGTCAGAGAAGGTTGAAATTCAAATTCTTACATTTATCCAGATGTCTGTTGTCTCTTCATAAATAATGAAAGGTGTAACAGAATCTGGGACAGCATCGATGAGTTTCTGCCTTTCCATTGCATCATCTTCTGTGGGGATGAATAATGCAGGAGGGATCAGGACTATCTGCAGCCGAGTTTGGGAGCGATCCAGCAGGATGGACCAGATGCTGTTGGGGAGACAGATATTAGAGAAAATAACATGCAACCATGAGTATGACACAGGCCTGAAAATCTCAGCAGACACTCACTAGCACCAGGCATTTTGGTGGAGCCAGGAATGTTCGACTGCAGATTAAGCACAAAGTCACGTGCAAAATTTCACCCACATAAACAAATTTCTTCCACAACACAAGAACCATTTTCACTTCATTTCAATATTGCATAAGCACTGCAGGTTCAAAAGTTTAATTCGTTCCATTCTCCCTGATTTGAATTGTGCTTCAAGGGAGAAAGAGAAGAGAAAAATCAGAGGGAATAATGAAGCAGAAAAATCTCAATTGAAATTTCAGGATGCTTGTAAAAATACTATTGCTTTAAACCTACACCTGGCAGAGAATAACACTGGCACCTCAATGGACTGGCAGCAGGCCCTGCCATATTCTGATGGTTTTGCATGTAGCTCTAACAATAATCCTGCAAAAAGCAGGATCATGTAACAAATGTGTCCCTGGATTTCTTCCACATTTGAGGGGGAAAAAAACCCTGAAAATGTGAAAGTCATCTTTAGATTCAAAAACTGGAGGAGTGCAAATCTGGAAAATCATGGAATCATTTAGGTTGGAAAAGACCTTGAAGATCATCAAATCCAACCATTCCCCCAGCACTGCCAAGCCCACCACTAAATCATGTCCCCAAGTGCCACATCTACATGGCTTTTAACTCCCTCCAGGGATGGGGACTCCACCACTGCCCTGGGCAGCTGTGCCAGGGCTGGACAACATTTTTTGGTGAAAAACCCCTTTGGAGAAGCTTCTGTTAGAAATGCTGTACTACATCATCTACAGGGTTAAAATGACATGCAAATGTAAGTAGCACTTACAGCAGTTTTTCTGATCAGTAAGTCTGGTCAGCAGGGATGGTCCAGTGGTTAGGGCTCTAGCCTAGGGCCTGGGGGACTGGGCTCATTTCTCTCCTCAGCCACAGACTTCCTGCGTGACCTCTCACTTAACCTCTCTGGGCTTCAGTTCCCCATCTGTAAAATGGGGACAATAGCACTGCACTCTCTCTCACAGGGACGCTGAGAGGACACACACACCAAAGGCTGCGAGTGCCCAAAACCAAAGCAGCGGGGCCAGGGACCAGGGAGAGAGACAGCGAGGAGCCTGGTTTGGCTTTTGGAAAAATGGTCCCCTTTGCACAAACGAGTTGGTAGCAATGTAAAAGTGAAAGCAGGTTTAAGCTGGAAAAAGAGAGAGACCGCTACAATCTGCTTCTGACTGTATCACCCCAAACCCTCTGAGCAGAGACAGGAGTAACATACGCACTATTTTCCTTCTGGCGTCCACCCAGCTCTAGCAATGTACTCTACTCCTTCAAAGAGGATCTCGAAGGGCTGAACTAGCTCTTTATCCACAACATCTGCAATCTGTTGACAAAGCAGCAATTCAGTGACACTGAGATGAACCCCCACAACCAGTTTTTTCATGCACGATGAGAGTCTGGACACAGAAGACTTTTTCTGTGCAGCTCATGCAATTGAGATTGTTCAGCCTTTGCAGCACAGCGGATTGAACCCCGTCCGTAGCCAGACACCAGCACAGCAGGAGAGCTGCACTCTACCAGTACAGCCAGGGCTGGGACCAGGGAGCCTGGATGCTGCTCACAAATCCATCCTTCATCTCGGACAACTCACTGGAACTCTCAGTTCCCCTCTGGGAAGGGGAGGTGGTTTGTACAGAGGGTGTTTTTGTGGGCAGGTGCTGAACGTCCTGCATGGCCTCCAGTTATTAACGTGCTGCAGTGTGTTCCTGCTGGGACTGGGAACAAGTTCCAGTGGTACCCAAAGGGTCCTGAAGGCTTTCCCTGCCTTTGCTGGCTGACACCAGCATCACTATCCCAACAGGTGACTGCTGATGGCTGAAGGAGCTCAAGAGTAGAGAGAATCCCAATAATTTATGGCTGTTACTGTATCTGTTTGGTAAGATTGATTTCCCAGCTGTCCAAAGGTCTTGGACTGGGCTATGGAAATTTCTGCATCTGTTAAAAAATCCCAGGGCAACAGCAAAGTTCATCTCTTTCCATATGGTTTTGTAAGGTGATATATTGTCTTTACAATCAAATTTTCCCAATATCTGCAGCCAATCAAGAGATCAGTCACAGAAGGTCTAACCACCCACACCTAAAATGCTCTGCTCTGCAGCTGGGTTTTTACACCAGTGGTAGGTAAGGAAAGCACAGCCTTGAGAAACACTGCTGCACACAGACACCAGGAATAAGCCAAGGGCACTGCCTCCAGAGAAGCCAGTAAGCCATCACAACCAAGAAAGTGCCTTTGTACTGAACTGGAAAATGAATGTTACCAAAGAAGAATCACAGCAATTCTATATATTTGGCAAACAAACAGAACAAAGACTTACTCTGCCTTCTGCATTGATCGTCACCTCAGAGATCTTGAAAGTGACCTTTGGATTTGCTGTACCTGTAAAAACAGATGTGACCAGTCAGGTACCAGTTGTTTGCTGGGATTATTGTGGTGTTACTCACACAGAACTGGAAAAGACAAACAGCAGAATGCTCTTTGATCACATAACCTCCATGCCTGTGTGAGACAGCACAGAACCAGGCAGGGAACTGCAAACATGAGGAGATTTAGTGGATTGTAATCCTGCAAACATGCTACTGTCACAGTCAGCCTTCTCTCCCACAGTCAATGGATTCAGGTACTAGTTGGAACTAAATGCTCAGGAGTGATTAGTACAGCAGAGCAAGCTTGGATTGCCTGTTTGGCTCTTATTCTCGAGGTGGTACATAGACAGTGACCCACAGCTAAAAAGCATCTATGAAAATTAAACCTAAAAGCCTATTGCCATCACTAGTGCCATTAAGATAATAGAGCTCCATATTTGTGTTGATCAGTGAAAATCTCAAGTTAACTCTTTCCACAAAGAAGCAACTCATCCTGCTGTGCAGCCCCTGCCCTGCTCTACACAGGGAAGAGGGACTTTAAAGAATAAATCCACTGCCAGTTGATCCACAAGGAGTCATACGGCAATTCCATGTACTCTGAATATTCTCAATGCCTCTGTGAAGTACTCCCACTTCACCAAACCTGATGCACTGAGGTGAAACTACTTGCCTTGGATCACAGTGCCAACCTATTTAAGTCCTTACTTCTCCCAGGGAAGAATGTTCTCCACTTCCTCAAGCTTTACCCTCATAACATTCCACAGGAAAGGGCTGTTGTCCCTGCAGCTCACACTGGAAGCTGAGACCCACAGACTAAACCCTTTATTTGGGCTTTGGTTAGCTCAGTTTCTTTGCATTGAATAATTTCAGAAATCTGGGTGTCCACAAGCACCACAAAACCCACAGGGAGTCACCTCTTGCCTCCCAGGCTCACAGTGAACCTTTCCCTCTCCTCGAAACAAGTAGTAAATGGGGAAAAATAGAACACTTTTCCCAGTGGATCAGGGATTCAGATCTGCAAGATCTGAATGAATTCTGCAGCTTGGAAAGGTCACCCAAACAGAAGATATTTGTCCAAAAATGAAGATTTCAGGAGTGAGGAAAGAGAGCAAAGCACTGTTATCTGTGAGCCACGTGCCCTGCTGTGACAGCAGGAACATCTCAGAAGGGTCAAACTGTTCACACCTGACTGAATCAGCCTTCAGCAAGTCTGCTTAAATCCCACTTCCCTGCTTCCAGTGACACTCCAGTTTATGTGCTTCAAGCCTGCCCTCACCTCTTTTTGCTGAAGCCTCCAGATCATCCACTTTTCAAAAATATGACCCCAGGAGGTTTTCCTGGCAGGCTGCAACATGCTGAGTTTGCTGTTCAAAGTCCAAGAGCAATCCTGGAGAACTGACTCCTCCAGAACTTGAACTGCAAGGGCACTGCCAGCAGCTAAACAGAAACCCTCCCAAAAAACCAAAAGGCAGTTGTTCCCTCAGGAACACAGGGCTGTAACAAGAACCAGCTCCTCAACAACTCAGATCTGCCAGGATCTGAGAGAAGCTCCAAAATAGTGACCATCAGAGAGGGTTTCTGCCAACTCCTGACACCCTGACAGAGCCCTCAGTAACCACATGGTTGCAGCATCAGCACAGTCACCAGTGACCCATCTAAGCTCCAGAGCAGCTTCCCCAAACACGTTTCCACCATTCAAACACATCCCTGCTCTAGGCTTGGAGAGTCACTGCTGTCAGGCACATGGAATGAAACAGGTGTCTCCCAGACACAGGGATGTAAAGCTTCAGGCTCTCACCAGTTTTGGGGTACCGGAAGGAATCTGTTCTTCTTGTCTCCAGCATGGGGGATGTGACATGGATAATTTCCACCTCTGACTCATCGTTTTCTTCATAAAGAATTCGAAGGACTTTACCCCCATCCAGTGCTGTAAATGAATTAACATTGCAGAATTAACAGGACAGCTCTCATTATCAGTTATTGCAGGCATCAATTATCTCAGGAGCACAAGCAGATTGGAAGGAAGAAGAAAAATCCAACAAAGCCTGTGATTCATGTTTCATTAAGCAAAACTCTGAGACTCTTACAACTCCCACCTCTGTTGTGAGAAGGGAAGTCTATTCCTCCAGTGCTCACAAGGCCCCTGTAACATACCCACTGCTGCCAGCTCAAAAGAAATTATAAGGTTTCCATCTTGCATAGAGACAAGTAACAGAAAAAAAATAACTCTGCCCTGAACAGCAGAGCAGGGAAGTCACTACTTGTGCCTGGATCCACCACACTTACTTGGTTGTGCTCTTGGGCACCACCAGTAGCCAGTGTATCTGTCAAACTCCTCCTGCAGCACAAAAGTGGCCACGCCAGCAGATTTTGGATCCTCCTCAACATTGGCCAGTTCTAAAAAAACAGACACCAAAGAATTAGTTTGTGATGTGCTGTAGAACCAAACCAGTTCCACATTATCCCAAACATGACCCGAGTTCACCCCCCTGGGAAGAACTACATGATAATAAATCTGACTTCTCAGCAGATTTGTCTTCTGCTTCCACCCTTCCCTGTTGATTTATTTAGGGAGGATTTAATCCTCTCTGGCATGGCAGCTTCCTTTAGGAAAAGAAAGTCATCCTCCCCTCTTACTCCTACCTAATCAGGCTCTCAACTTGTCAAAAAAGAAAATGTTCTTTCTACCTGAGCTTGGTGAGGTGGAACCACAACTTTTAAGAAAATCAAAGAAATAAAAACAAACCAAACCTTTCCTGAACAACTGAAACTGAAAACATCAACATTCAGAAAAATGAAAGCACCAGTATTTCATTCCCTATACAACCCAAAAGTAACAGACTTACATAACATCTCAACATGATGACATATCCATAGGGCTTCAATATTTTTCCTGTTACCCTGGAGGTAACTTAGCAGCGCTCCATAAATAATTATCATCTGAGAAGGAGTCATTGCTATAGTTTATTTTTACTGTACTTACATAATATTTTAATATTTAACATTTGAATAATCCAAAGCATTATTATAAAGTGTCAGGAATTTTAATTAACTAAAATTTAAATGACATAGTTTAAGCACAAAATGTAATTGATTTTTAAAAAGTGTTTTATCCACAATTTCCCATGTTCTTTCTTCCTGGTCTAAAATAGGGTTGGAGAGGGTAAGAAGTGAGGACCCAGGTCACTGAGTATGAGGGGCCAGCAGAAACCCCAGTGCTATTCAGAAACTGCCTCAATTGTTTTTCAAAGTCTCTGCAGCCTGATTTCACTGACAGAAACTTTCCTCCAGCTCTGTTCCACCCACAGCTCCTCCACACAAAAAAAGGCTGTTCCAGTAAAAAGCAATGTGCTGTGTTTCAGGAGAAGAGCCCTTCCATATGTACCCACCAAACAACTCATTCTGCCAGATTCCACAGTGCAGGGAAAAGGATCATCCCACAGTATGTGCACCAGGGGAAACGTGTAGAACGTGACAAACAAGGTGGGATAAACAGTGGCCACAACCCCAATTTCAGGAGAACCTTTAGTGCCATTGCTCACTTCAGTCTGGTAAGAACAAGTGCAGAGGAGGTGCAGGGGTTGGATTCAGGGTGCATTAATTACCATTGTGCACAAACGTCAGCCTCCTCTCCTCCCTGGATTCTATATTGGATATCCAGATGTCGTTGCAATGGATAAACGCAATCCAATTTGGATCAGCTGGACAAAGCTTGGGATCCATCCGGATATTTGGACAACTGGTCTCTACCAGGATGGGTCTTAACGGCTGTTGCTGTTTGGAATTAAAAAAAAAAAAACAACTAAACAAAAAAAGTAATGATAACACATGAACACACGCACCAAGTAACCTGGATTTTCAGAAGGCCACAGCAGTGTGGACACTGACTACAAATACATGTTTATAGATGAATCTACTCATTTTAAATACACAAAAATACCATGCAGGTAATTTATAGGGAAAGTTGTGCTTGTACCATGGTTGCACAGGCCCCACCAGGGCTCTCTCCCCACTGCTGAGGATCAGCCCCAAATCAGAGGGCAGCTTGTCTAGAGAATCCTGGCACACCCCTAAAAACAGCACCCTAAAAGGGGCTGGCAGAACACGCAACCTTGTCCTCCAAAAGCAGCTCGGGGTACAGTAAATTCCCCCTGACAACAGGGTTAAACAGACACCAGGCATCTGTTGTAATAATAAGAAATTATTTCAGCTTTGAAGTCCAGCTTCAGCACCAGCAGAGTAAAGGCTGCTTGTTCTGCAAGCTGTACAGCAAAGTGGTGTAACACATCCAGCACTGCCCCTGAACAGTGACCTGGAAATGCAGCTTGGGGACTGAAGTTGTCTCTGATGTGACTTCTGACTCCAGGAAGAGCAGGGAACCTTTTGTTGCTTTTTATGGACATTGCTACTCGTGAAAAATAATTAAAAAATATCTGCTGTCCTGCCTTGCTGCCATGGTTTTTACTATTTCTTGTAATCCTCCGAGTTTCTATGACCATGGAAATGCATCCCTGTGGAGGACTTCTCCACGTTTCCAGGGTTATCAAGGTCACTTGCAATAACTGATGATGATCACGTTCTCTGCTCTCTCTCCAAGCCAAAGGAGCTTCTGGCCAGAGCAGAGAGACAGGAAAGGAGCAAACTCACAGTGAATCCATGAGGGCCTCCATCCTTCACATGATAAATCCCACTCCCTGCCTGGAATAAGAAGGTGCCACTCTCCCGGTGATAATCATAGGAGGCAATCCCGACGGTGCCGATCCGCTTCCGCTCCCGCAGCAACTCCTCTTCCCGGGAGTACATCCCATAGTCCAGGATGGCCTGAAAACAGGCAGAGAACACAATCACACCTCTGCTCTGCACGCCTCACTGTTGGAGCATCCCTGCATGCTGAGCTTCCAGCAGCAGATGGCTGTGCAGACTGCCTCCTCCTCCGGAATCCTGCTGCCGGCTGGGAGCCCACTCCTGCTTTGCCTCTGCCATCAGCACTCGTAGGTGCAGGCCACGATCGGATCCCACACAGCCATAAACCTGACAGCCACCCCTCCCTAGCACACCAGCATTGTTCCCAATATTCCCGGTATGAGAAGGATCAGCCTGAAGGTCTGTTACTTCTGGAATGAGCAGGAGAGGCTTTGCTCATGTTCACAGACACACAGTGACTGGTCTGGTGGGAGGAGAGCGCAGCCCAGGTTTTATGTCTGGCTGACAGCCCTGGGAGATAACATGGGGAAAAATACACCTCATGCCATGTGGGGTTTGTCCCACCGCCTCCAACCTGCCACGCTCCCTGGGATGGGATGGTGCAGGCTTGCTGTGTGCAGCAGTGAAAAGGGAATGCACATCACAGTGAGTGGGAAAGGGATGCTCTGCTCCACATGAGTCACGGAGCCACCGGCTGATCCTCGGGGGAACCATCACTTCCCCTGCAAGACAGCAGGGAAGTGATTGGAGATTGCAGGCTCCTCCAGCAATCCCCAGGATCTCACAGCACAGAACTGAATGTAAATTAGAATTTTCCATCTCTGACAGCAAAGGAGGAATCATCCAGCACACACAGAGGCTATGACTCCAAACAGGAGAAAGCTGTGCTCAGCTTCGGGATGGCTGCAGGGCTGGCCATGTACAAGGAGAATCTTAAAATATTTAAGACAATAAACTTCAAATTTTAATGATGGCTTACAGGTGCAAGCCCGAAGCCCACGTCCTTGAAGCAAAAAAGAAATGATGACTCACTGGAAAAAGATCCAGAAGAGGCTTCCAGGAAAGCAACAGGACGGCAGCTTTGTTTATGGTTTTGGGGATTTCAGAGTAGAAGAGTGTGTTCTCCCTGTTCTCCCCAGACATTGCTATGGAAAAGGAGGAGAAAATAAAGACAAAAGGTGTATTAGCTTTCTGTTAATAATTCACTCTGACAGGATTTCCAGAAAGTTTCGCAGGTCCTTCCTACAACAGAAAGCACTGATGGTCTCTGCACTGCAGCCCCACTCTGGGAATTCCCTGTTCACAGAAATGCAACTCATGGAAAAGGCAGAGGACCAGGAATTACACACAGGCTCACCCCACTCTGCCTGAAGCATGTCTGTGTCTTCCTGCTGCCCTTTTATTCCATAAGCTTTATAAATCAAGGAAGGCCTTTCTGCCAATTCCTCTGGTGGGATACATGATGCAGCTCATGTTTCAGAGATAATGGAAAAAAAAGCCCTTTAGGGAGGTTTGAATGTCCCTTTCCTGCTCCTCTCCCTCAGTGCTATTCAGATTTCTGAAGGCTCCTGCCCAGGCACATGAGGATGAGCCCAGAGGGAGCCAGGTGTGCTCCAGGGAAGGCCAAGCTTGGGAAGCAGCACTTGGGAAACCAGAGCTCATCCCAGGGGCTCAGCCTTAACCCCCCTGTGATGTGCTTGAACTCAGCATCATTCAAGGATTATGACCCCCATCCTCTGAAAAGGGGAAAAAGGGACAGACCAGCAGTGTTCTGGCCATGTCACTGCACAGCACGTGCAAAGATCCGGTGAATCACAAACCTGAGCTTAAGCAAAGTAGCCTGAGTGGTGAGCAGTGGGGATAAACATGGCTCTGGCTCCTAGGCCTCTGCTCCAGCCATTGCTTCTCTCCCTAATCCAGGTTTTCATGGATTCATGTTCAGCTAGTGCAGCTTTTGACAAAAGCATTCCTCTCCCACAAAGGCTGCTCCAAAGAGCCACCCAGAGGGTTGCTCACAGTATCACTTGCAGAGCCAAATCACTTCTATGAAGTGAACACTAATTAGTGAAGCAATGCCCAAGTGAGGCAGCGAGGCCAAGAACAACAAACTACATCAAGTTCTTCCTTATCAAGACCAAAAATGTTGAGAAAAGTATTTACTCTTTGAGCTGCCCCCACCCTACACTGCTATTTATTCCCCACAGGATCCCTGGAAAACCTGCTCCAGCAGCAGCTGAGGCACAAAGGACTTCCAAAATGACACTTATCATCACTGCTTTGGAAGGAAACTTTGAAGAAGAACAAGGTTCTACCCAATATCTGTCATTCAGAGAGAGGAGATCAAACCTGCCCAGCTTTGGGAGAGGGGTGAGAGAAAAGGGATTGAACAGACTTCCAGCTTGGGAACACTTGGACAACACTTGGGAACAGAGGACACTTCACAGTTCTTTTCCAGCTCTAATGGGTCACCCCCACCCATTCCCATGGGAGGTTACATCACAAGTTTTAAGGAGACATTGAGATCATGATCCTGACTTTTGCCCAGCCAGTGTGGCCTGGAATCCCTTTTGGTTTAACTGCCAGAAATCCCAGCTGTCAGGAGCAGTCAGAGCCCCACAGCCCTGCAGTGACAGGGGCTGTCATAGCTTACCCAGATAGTAGATCCTGTCGGAATGGGGACCTTCGGGATCGTTTTTCTTCACGAATGTGAAGTCGTGAGGGGCTTTTGCCATCATGTATCCATGATACTTCCGCGTGTCCGTCAGCAGTTTCCGGAGCTGGCTCCAGGAATGCCTCTCCACATAGAAAGGTTCCAGTTTTGGCTGCTCCTCCCTTGGGACCTGCTCCTCCCGACCCGCGGTCTCAAAAATTTCCAGCGCCGGCTGTTCAGTTTCCATGGCTGCTGCCATGTTGCATGTTTCTGGAAGGACGGAACAGCACAGGGTCAGCTCCAGCAAACCCCCACTGCAGACCTCCAGCACACCTCACAGCAAAGAAAACCATCACTCCACGTGGGGAATAAACCCCACAGCACAAGGAAGAGGGATAGCAAAGAGATTCCTGCTCTGGAAAACAAAGGCACCACTCAGCCCTTCAGAACGGGAGTGAGGACTTCATGCAGCCACAGATTTATGGCTGTTTGCCTTTCCCACACCCTCACATACCAACTCCTCATTTTAGTTCATGAAGTAGATGAATTCTTCCCCTTTAAGGTCCTCTCTGCTCCTGCCCCCTGTGATCTGCACAAATGCCCCCTCCCTGCACTGCTATCGGAATGGGGGATGACCAGGAGTGGAGCCAGAGCTGGGACAAACTGCTCAGAAGAAACAACACTGGTAGTTGCTGTGGAACCATCAGGCCATTCACAACAGCTGCATGTCCTTACTCCCATTATTCTCCTATAATTTATTGGATCTGCTTGCACTTCCTTTCAAACAAAACTCAGAAGTGTCTAGAAACCACCACCACTATTTTATCACCCCAGGGCCACAACTGCAAACACCAGGAGAAAGGGGACACTGTGTAAAAAGCCTTTCCCAGACAGATTTATCTGCAGCACAAGCCCTATCCTGCCCAGCAGGTTGTTTATGGAGCAGATATCTCCTCCCGCACTCAGCTGTGCTTCACCAAATGTAGCTGAGCTGCAATATCAGCACAGATGTCTGGCAGGAGGAAATCAAGTCCTCCCACTGTAAATCCCAGACCCAAGGGCAGCTCCAAAACAATCCAGGCCATAAACTCCTGCCACACAGTTCATTCCTGGAGAATCCAAGGTGCAGGATTGTCAATCCTCAAAGGGAGGGGGATTCTATATATAGGATGGAAAGACTGCACTAATGCAGCCTAAATAAAGCTCTTCCCTGGAGCAAACAGGCTCTGAAGGATCCCTGAATCCCCAGGCCAGGGCTTGGGCAGCTGGCAAAGCTCCCTGGTGGAGCAGCTCTCCCGCGGCTCTGCACCGCTGAGACACCTCAGAGGAGTGACAAAGACACGTCCCACACCGTGGCCCAGCCCCATTTGAACACAAACTGCCAAAAGCAAAGCCCAGCAGGTCTGGATCCGCCTTTGGCAGCACAAACCCAACAAACAAAGGTCTTTCTTTTCTCCACGCTATTTATAGCACAAAAAACCAGAATAGAACAGCCCTGTACAGCTGGAGGGAGGGTCCGAGGCGTGCCCAGAGCAGTGCTGTGCTCAGACAAGAGCCTCCAAACCTCAATCACAGAACCCGTTTAATCTGCACGATTCCAACAAAGAAAAGTCTCCTTTCCCCACCTACACCCGAGTGCTGCTGCGTCTTAACCCGACCTACTTCTCACAGCAAAAGAGATAAAAACCGAACAGGAGGAAACGTTACCGAGCCGATAACAGCGAGAACGGGCATCCGGCACGGGGGTGTCGGCCCGGGCTTGTGCCCCGGGAAGATGCCGGAGGGGTCCCCACGGCCAGGGGCAGAACCCGGGGGTCCCCCCACGGCCAGGTATGTCCCAGGGGAGACCCCCAAGGCTGGGGGCAGATCCCGGGGTGGCGGTGGGCAGATCCCAGAGGTCCCTCCACGGACGATGGCAGATGCCGGCGGAAGCCCCAAGGCCGGGGGCAGATCACGGGGGGGACCCCCAAGGCCGGGGGCAGATCCCAAGGGTCCATCCACGGCCCGGGGCAGATCCCGAGGGAGCGGTGGGCAGGTCCCAGGGGGGTCCCCCAGTGGCGGGGGGGTGGCCAAGCCTGGCCGGGGGCGGAAGGCCTGGCCGCCCTAGGTGAAGCTCCCTCCTCCCGCCCACCCCAGGGGCTCTCCCCGGCGCGGAGTCCCCTCCCCACCCCGCTCCGGGCTCCCCTGGTACTCACCCCGGCTCTCCCCGGCGCTCCGCGGGCGCTGCTGCCGGGCCGCCCCGCCGGGCCGCTGCCGCCGCTTCCGCTTCCGCTCCCGGGAGGGGCCGCACAGCGCGGCACCGGCCAGGGCGCCGCCTGCCGGCCAGGATGACCGGGCTGCGGGGGTGCGACACCCACTCGGGACACGGGGACAGGGACACGGGACACGGGATACGGGACACGCTCCTCACCCCTTGCACGGGAGCCAGGACACACATACACACTGCAAAGATCTTGCAACCTTCCTCGTGCGCAGGGACCCTGCAGTTTCAAAAATCTCCTTCCCCCCCACCCCCTCCCAAATGCCACCATTTCCACATGGACACGCTGCCCACAGCAGAAAAAAAAAATAATTTCCCAGCTGCTAATAATGAGTGTTCAGCACGGGGCATTCTCAGGCTCCAGGGCAGTGAGCCCCCAGAGCTCCCCCAGGCTCCAGAGCAGTGATTCCCACAAAACATTCCCAGGCTCCAGAGCAATGAGCCCCCAAAACATCCACATGTTCCAGAGCAATGAGCCCCCAAATCACAGGCTCCAGAGACATCCCAAAACACCCCCAGGCTCCAGTGCAGTCAGTCCCCAGACACCCCTCAGGTTCCAGTGAGCCCCCAAAACACCCCAAGGCTCCAGTGAAGCCTCAAAACACCTCCAGGCTCCAAAGCAGTGAGTTCCCCAAACACTCCCAGGCTCCAGAGCAGTGATTGCCCCAAAACACATCCAGGCTCCAGTGACCCCTCAGCCACTCATTTCTATGCACCTGAATTTCCAAACCAAAGCCCCCTTTTGTCAAGTGAAGTCTTTTTTGTCCCCTATAAACCAGAAAAAACAACTTCCCTGCAGGTGCCCCCTGCTAAATGCAGGTGCAGGTGAAATTCCCGAATCACACTGGGACCCGAAGGCTGTTTTTCCCCACACGCTGCCCCAAAGGGTATCTGGGGTTTGTGTTCCCAAATCAAGCAGCCTGGAGATCACTGCTACAGCTCTGCCCACCTTCTGCAGTAGCTCCACAGCCCCAGGGGTGGCAGAGGTTGGGAATCCTCTATTCAGGGCAGGCTGGGGCACGGGGTCCATGTCTCCCACCGACGTGGAGATTCACACAGAAAACCCTAAGGCTGGAAGAGGTCGTGCCAAGCTGGGATGGAGGGAGAATGGATTTGCTGTTGGAATGAGGATGGATTTGCTGTTGGAATGAGGATGGCCATGGGCAAAGGGCCCTTGTATGAGCTGCTGAGGGAGCAAGGGGCATCATTTTTGGAAGTATCACTGTAATCGGTGCTGTCACCTTTTAGCCTGTTTATCACAGAATCATGGAATGGTTTGGGTTGGAAGGGACCTTAAAGCTCGTCTCATTCCAACCATGAGCAGGGACACCTTCCCCTATCTCAGGTTGCTCCAAGCCCCATCCAACTTGCCTTGGATACTTGCAGGGATGGGGCACCCACAGCTGCCCTGAGCAGCCTGTGCCAGTGCTTGGAGGTCTCGAGGCACGTAATAATGGCACTGTAGGAGTTTAAAGAGGTTGGAGCACACAGGATTGGCATTTTTTACACTTCTATCCTCCTCCCCTGGTCACGGCTGAGATGGGGTCGGTCTCTTCTCCCACATAAGGATAGGACAAAAGGAACAGCCCCAAGTTGCACCAAGGTAGGTTTAGGTTGGACATTAGGAAAATTTCTTCATTGAAAGGGTTGTAAAGCATTGGAACGAGCTGCCCAGGGCAGTGGTGGGGTCCCCATCCCTGGGGGGGATTTAAAAGCCATAGAGATGTGGCACTTGCAGACATTTAGCAGATATCTTGTCAGTGCTGGGGGAACAGTTTACACTGACACACTAGTGCCCTCTTTCCAAGGACACTGTATGTATCTCCAAAACCTGATGTGGGCTACTCATTTACTTTGTTCTGATCAAGTCTCACACATTAAAAAAATGATAATGCTCTCTACATGTAATTTTTTTCCATGAACTTTTAAGCATGAGTACCACTATAGGCAGTAATTTTTTTTACATATCTATCTATCTATATTCATATATATATACACATATATGTACACACGTATATTATGTTGCTCCCCAACTCTCCTTATTTTCTCAATAAATTCCTCTTATTTTCCGCCTTATTTTCTCAATAAATGTAATCAAGAGCATGAAAATGCACCAAGCTTTCGGTTTGGGAGGGGTTTTCCAGCCTAAACGACGCTGCGATTGCCCCGCACGGCAGGCTCACAGCTCCGAGCTCTGTGAGGGCTCTGAGGGGGCTCGGCCGCCCCCGCCCCGCCCCGCGCGCAGGCGCAGCGGGCGCCGCCCCCGGCGGGCGCGCAGTGCGCAGGCGCGGGGAGCGCCCCCGGCGGTGCGGGACCATGGCGGGGCCCAGCCTGAGGCCGCACGTGCACTGGGCACAGCGGCACCGCCAGATCTTCCTCAGGGTGGAGCTCAGCGACGTGCGGGTACGGCGGGGGGACACCCCTGCGGGATAGCCCTGCGGGATACCCGGGGGGTGACACCTGGTGGGGAGGGGGGGGCGGGTAAGGGACTCCCCTGCGGAGAGGGAGGACGCAGGGGGACACCTGAGGGACAGCCGGCGGGAGGACTGCTGGGGGACACCCCCGTGGGGGGACACTCGGAGGGGGACAGCTGGGTAAGGACACCTGCGGGACAGCCAGGGGGTGACACCTGCCGGACAGCCGGCGGGAGGACACCTGGGGGACACGCCCGTGGGGGGACACCCAGAGAGGGACACCTGGAGGCACCTGCGGAGGGGGGACACCCGGGAGAGACTCACCTGCAAGGGGTGGGGAGGGAGAGACTCACCTGGGGACCCTCGTGGGGAGATTCCCGAAGGGGAACACCTGGGGACACCTGAGGGGAAGTGACACCTGGGGATACCCTGGAGGGACTCACCTGCAAGGAGGGGGGGAGACTCACCTGGGGACCCGCGGGGACACAGACACCTGTGGGACATCTGAGGGGTGACATCTGCGGAGGGGGGAGGGGGGGTGGCTCCCCTTGGGGGGGACGGTCGGAGGACACCTGGAGGACTCTCCCGGGGGACACACACACATGGGGATACCCTGGAGGGACTCACCTGCAAGGGAGGGGGGGAAACTCACCTGGGGACCTGTGGGGAGGGGGATACGTGTGGGACACCCGGGGGGGAGTCACTTGCAAGGGAGGAGACTCACCTGGGGGGACTCACCTGGGGACACACACCTGTGGGACCCTCGGGCAGACTCACCTGGGGACCTCCCCGGGGGCTGTCCCTGCCCACAGGCAGCAACAGTGGTGGGGTCTGTGTTCAGGGTGCGGGGAGGGCTGTGCTGGCATGGGGCGACAGGACCCTCATGGGTGGGTAGGTGGGTGCACTGACCCCCGTGGGCGTGGGAGCTGCCACCTAACACACGTCCTCCCTCTGCAGAACCCGGACATCACCATCACCGACAATGTCCTGCACTTCAGAGGTAGGGGTTTCACTGGGGGGGTCTCAGCCTGCCCCCTCCCTGCTGTCCCAGGTGTCCCCACCATGGGCTGCCTGGTCCCCGTCCTGGCAGGAGCCTCTCTGCCAGGCATGTTGGGATCTGTCAGGCTCCCACCCACAGCCCTCTGTGTTCCAGCCCTGGGAACCACATCAAGCCCTATCTTATCTAACAAGAAAACCCCAACCTCCCCATATTTAAATCCCAGCAGAATTTCCATATATCTTTCCTGTCCCTGGTCAGCCAAACCCCAGAGATAACTCACAGCAGCTTTTCCTTTTGACAAAGACCTTGTGTGCAACTGTTATCGAGCCTCCACATCAGGAACTAGGGCTCCATTTGGAAGGTAAAGCAGATCTTGCCCTCAAAGATGTTTTTTGGGCAGCTGGACAGCTGCACATTCCAGCACCGTGGAGCTGGTGCTGGTTGGCATGTTTGGGTAGTGCTGTGGACCTGCTGTCACTGCTTTTATTGGATTTTCTCTTTTATTTCTCATGGATTTCTTTAAGATGCCTCATCCAGGAGCTGCTGCCTCCCCATTGTGCTGCAGCCAGGCCATTTGATAGGGGGTGTTCCGCACCGTCGTCACTTTGGGATCAGTTTACGGCGTGGAAGGGTGGAATTAAACACAGTGCAGGGGTTTGGAGCCCTTCTGGGGATAGGACCAATGTGGGAAATGAGGAATTACCTCATTTCCTGCTGTTGGGAGGGCCTCCCCACATCAATCCCACAAACCCAGCAGGCACCCCTCTCCCTGGGTGCTCCTTCACCAGTGCAGAGCCTGGATCCCCCAGGGCAGGAGATTTCAGCTGGATTTGAGTTAGCCAAGAACAGCCTTTTGAACCCCTCTTTTGGGAATCTGACACTGTCTCCCTGCAGCAAGGACCCTTTTCCAGGGGTGCAGACTTACAGCAGCTTTAGCTGCCGACTCCTGCTCTGCCCTTCCAAGCTGCATTTTGGGCTTTGGTGTCTTCCCCATTATCTTGTGGTTTCCTCTTATCTCCCAGCAAGGTGGGGGAAGTGCTGTGAAATAATTGCTGAATATTTCTCTGTGTGAAGCCTCCTGTGCAGGTGGGGTGTGTGGAACTGTCTGGGACCTTCACACTGACTTGATTCTTGTCTTTTAGCTCAGGGTCATGGTGCCAAAGGGGACAACATCTACGAATTTGAGATCGAGTTCCTTGAGCCTGTCGAGCCTAAAGTAGGTATTTTTACTTTTCTAGCTCCTGAAAGGAAACTGGCTGTGTGCTGTGTCCATAATATGCAGTTTAGGTTTTTCTGGTGACTCCATAACTGCTGCAAACTCAAAGTTGTCAGTGGCATTCTTCCATACCAGTGCTCAGCCACATTCCTGTCTTACTGCAAATCACCTCACTGGAGCTGGTGCTCCCATGGGTCAGCTCTAACAGACACAGGACCTTGCTTGTATGGCTTGTTAAACAGCAGTTTTAAGTTTTTTTAAAGATTTAAAGCAGCAAAATAATGGGAGAATCCAGCAATGTGTTCTCTGATGCAACCCTGACTGGAGAGCAGGGGAACACTGTGCTGCAAAGCATCAGTGTGATGTTTTATGGCTTCTTTT